GAAGCCAGAAGCCAATAGCCTCCCCCGGGCTCCCCATGCAGGCGCAGGGGCCAAAGGACCCAGGCCATCCTCTGCCAGTCTCCCAGGCCATAGCAGAGAGCTAGATGGGAAGTGGAGCAGCCGGGACCCGAACTGGCACCCACAAAGCCCTAAACTGCCATGCCACAGCACCAGCTCCTGTTCTAAAAATTTTATAATAAAGAAAGTACTATTATTATCCCAACTCATAGATGAGAAAAACGAGTCTCAGGGAAGTTAACTAAGTTGCAAACAAACAGAGCTGAGAATTGGATCCTGGCCGGCCAGCTCCAGCTCATGTTCTCACACACTATAGCGCTGGTACTCAAGGAATTCTAGATGAGAACGTGAGTTAAAAGAGCTGACAAAATGCAGTAAGAAACTGGAGAAAGTTTCCGTACACCCAGAAAGCCTGGGTTGGTAACCCCAGTTCTGTAGCTGACCGCTGTAAGATCTCGGAAGGCTATACAATCTGTTTAAACCTAGCTTCCTTCTCCATACAACGGACATGAGCCATCCTTTGCCGGTTGTTGTGAAGATCGACCCAGCTTGATATAATAGTCACCCAAAACTCGTCAAATTGAATGGAGTGGCTACACGTGTCCCTATCTACAGAGAGAGACACAGTAATTGCTTGGGAAATACTTTACTGTGATCAGAACCTGATTGAGATATGAATCAAATAATAAAGAACTTGTTTCATTTTGAAGTACCAGGAGCTGTCTAAGTTCTTAACAAGCATTCAGCTGATTTCATTCCCATAATACCACTACTAAGTAAGTGCTGTTCTTCTCCCTGCTGCACATATGAGGAAACCAAGGGTTCCAGCAGTCAAACAGTCGAGACTGGCGCAGTGCCGCAGCGGGTTATCACCCTGGCCTGAAGCGCCGGCATCCCATTTGGGTGCCAGTTCAAGTCCCGGCTGTTCCTCTTCTGATCCAGTTCTCTGCTGTGGCCTGGGAAAGCAGTAGAAGATGGGCCAAGTCCTTGGGCCCCTGCACCCATGTGGGAGACCTTGAAGAAACTCCTGGTTCCTGGCTTTGGATCAGCGCAACTCCAGCCATTGCAGCCATCTAGGGAGTGAACCAGCGGATGGAAGACCTCTCTCTGTCTTTCAAATCAATAAAATAAATCTTTTTAAAAATTTTTTTAAAACATTTATTTATTTATTTATTTGAAAAGCAGAGTTACAGAGATAGAGAGAGAAGTCTTCCATTCACCGGTTCACTCCCCAAATGGCCATAATGGCTGGAGCTGGGCCAATCCGAAGCCAGGAGCTGGGAGCTTCCTCTGGATCTCCAAAACGAGCACAGGTGCCCAAGAACCTGGGCCACCCACTGCTTTCCCAGGCCACAGCAGGGAGCTAGATTGGGAGCAGGGTAGCTGGGACTTGAACCGTTGCCCACATGGGACGCTGGGCGCTGCAGGCGAAGGCTTAGCCCACTGTGCCACAGCGCCAGCCCCAATAAAATAAATCTTTTTTTTTTTTTTTTTTGATAGGCAGAGTGGACAGTGAGAGAGAGAGACAGAGAGAGAAAGGTCTTCCTTTGCCGTTGGTTCACCCTCCAATGGCCGCCGCTGCAGCCGGCGCACCGCACTGATCCGATGGCAGGAGCCAGGATCCAGGTGCTTTTTCCTGGTCTCCCATGGGGTGCAGGGCCCAAGCACCTGGGCCATCCTCCACTGCACTCCCTGGCCATAGCAGAGAGCTGGCCTGGAAGAGGGGCAACCGGGACAGAATCTGGCGCCCTGACCGGGACTAGAACCCGGTGTGCCGGCGCCGCAAGGTGGAGGATTAGCCTATTGAGCCACGGCGCCGGCTCAAATAAAATAAATCTTTAAAAAAAAAAAGTCAGTCTAACCAAGTTCACACAGCTAAGCAGTAGCAAGGCTGGACCCAGACTTGTCTTATTCTAGAGTGGAACTCCTCAGCACTGTGTCTTTTCACAAGGCCTCTGAAAATACAGTGTTGACCTGTCAGAGTAGATGGAGCGCAGGAGAAAGCATGTGAGTGAGGGATGGCATGGGAAAGCAAAGTTCAAGTTGAGGCAGTGTGAATGGGCTCATCTACTTGTGATGCCAGCGTTCCGTGCTGGAGCGCCAGTGTGAGTGCCGGCTGCTCTGTTTCCAGTCTAACTCCCCACCAATGCAGCTGGGGAGGCAGTGAACGGCCGAAATTCTTGGGCCCCTGCCGCCCCGTGGGAGACCTGGAATGAGCCTAGCTGCTTCGGCTTGGCCCAGCCCTAGCAGTTGTGGCCATTTCAGGAGTGAACCAGTGAAAATTCTCCCCCACTCTCTGCCACGAAACAAATAAATATATCTTCAACAAAAAACTGGAGGCAGCTTGAATGTGTGGTTGTCTATGGGGTATCAACTGGGTATCAACCTATTGGGTACATGCGGTGCGGCAGGTTAAGCCCACATCCCGTAGCAGACGGCAGGGCTGAGCCATGGCTCCTCTTCTGTCCACTTTCCAGCTAGTGCATCCTGGGAGGTGGCAGGTGATGGCTCAAGTGCTTGGGTCCCTGGTACCCATGTGGGAGACCAGGATGGAGTTCCAGGCCTCTGACTTGGGCTTGAGGAGTAAACCAGAGTACGCAAGATTTCTCTCTGCCTCCCTCTCTTTCCTGCCTTTCAAGATGAAAACAAAACAAAACAAAACAAAACAAAAAAAAAACAACCAAAAATCCCAAGCAGTTGAAATACAGATCTAGAGCCCTGGAAAGAGACTACGGTGAAAACAAAGACTTGATAGTCCTTTAAATTATAAGAGATTAAATCAGTCATGGTGAATGTCTAAAATGCAGTAGGAAGGAACCCTGAAAAAAAATCAGGATTTAAAGAACAAAAGGAAACACATAAAGTGGGCAGAGAAGCAGTCAGAAATGCAGGGAACCAGAGAGAGTATAGGAGTAACGTCGACAGAAGAGGAAGGAGTGGCCAGTTTATTCAGTCAACAAACGCTGAGTGCGAGGCACTGTTCAGGTGCTAGGAATCCATCAGCAAACACAACAGACAACCCCATCCCAGTCAGGGGAAATGGGCACCAAACACACAGACACGTGAGATGTCACGTGACTGCAGGGTGAAGGGACGACATGAGGGGTGAGGACAGCAGTCCACACAGGGCGGGCAGGAAAGCTCAGACGAGAACCGGAGCGAGCATGGAGCCCTGAGGGTCTTAGGAAGCGCTTCTGTGCAGAAGGACCAGCAGAAAGAAAAGCTGTGGGGGCCGGCGCTGTGGTGTAGCGGGTAAAGCCGCTGCCTACAGTGCTGGCACCACATATGAGTGCCGGTTCAAGTCCTGGCTGCTCCTCTTCCCATCCAGCTCTCTGCTGTGGCCTGGGAAAGCAGTGGAAGATGGCCCAAGTCCTTGGGCCTCTGCACCCGCATGGGAGACCCGGAAGAAGCTCCTGGCTCCTGGCTTCAGAATGGCACAGCTCCAGCCGTTGTGGCCAATTGGGGAGTGAACCAGCGGATGGACGACCTCTCTCTTGCTCACTGCCTCTCCTTCTCTCTCTGTGTAACTCTTTCAAATAAATAAATAAATAAATAAATCTTAAAAAAATAAAAAATAAAAAGTCGTGTGGCTAAGTGTCCTTGGTGTGGCTGAGGAAGGAGGAGCTAGTAGGACTTTGGCAGATTTGACAGGGGTGACGTGGTTTGAAAAGTCATTTAGAGGGTTCACTCTGCCTGCACTGCTGGGAACAGAGGGCACTTCAAAAGGTTCACAGAAAACTGAAATAAACGAAACGTTTATTTTGGTGCGAAGATTCAAATCCATGCATCACTTTTTTCATGCTATGCATTTCCATGGACTTTTTGAAGACCCCTTGGTCCCTAGGGTGGGGAGAGAGGAGCAGGCGGATTAGTTAGGCGGCTGCTGCGGAACGCCAGGTGAGGGGTGACGGGGTTTGGGCCACAGTTAGACGTGCAGGGAGAAGCCCCAGAATGTGCATCCGCTGTGAGAACAGGCCAACAGCACTTGCTGACATAAGTGCAAGAAGAACCAGGGACTCAGCTCAGACGGGCAGAGTCCTGACCCCATGAAAGTAAGGAGGTACGGAGCCAGGGAGGAGGTGGGCAGGGGCCAGTGGGGACGGCGGGAAGGCAGCGGCCACGAATGCCAGTGGAGTTTTCTTCCATCTTGGTTTGAGGTGGATGGTCAAGATCTGGCAAAGCTCCACGCCCGGAGGCAGGCGTGCCACAGCGAGGTAACGGTGGTGAGTAGGCCGCAGTCTGCGGCGTCCTCAGGACTCTAGGACACTGGGCGGTGCTGGGGGCAGTGTGAGAGGCTGATGCACGGAAGGGCGAGATGACTGGCATAGGGCGGAGCACAGGCACAAAACCACGCGGCTCCAAGTACGGGGCCCAGGCAGACTGGGGGAGAGGCAGGGGACGGCAGGGGACGGCAGGGGACGGCAGGGGGATGCAGGCTCCCGCCGGAGTGGTGTGGGGTCTCTGAGGAGGGTGGATCTGGAAGGAAGGGGGAGGGGGAGAGGGGAGGAGGAGGGGGAGAGAGGTAGAGGGGGCAGGGAGGGAGGGAGGGGAGTCCTGGCGTTTAGGGTCCCAAAGGTCTCGGCTCACTCCCGGCAGGGACGCGAGGCGATCTGCAGGGGTCTCGGGGGGGTCCCGGGACGGACTCAGCTCCAGGACACTCGGTCAGAGCGAGGTGAGCGGGAGGGCGCGGGGTGGACAGGAGGAAAGCGGTCAGGGGTCTCGGGGGGTCCCGGGACGGACTCAGCTCCAGGACACTCGGTCAGAGCGAGGTGGGCGGGAGGACGCGGGGTGGACGGGAGGAAAGCGGTCAGGGGTCAGGACCGACTGAGGGGCGGGAGAGGTCGGGACCGGGGGTCAGCGCCTGAGGTAAAACGTGAGCCGTCGGGAAGTACAGGTCCGGATGAGGGTCCCGGTGCGCACTGCGGGCGGCCGAGGGTGGGTGAGGAGGCGGGCCACGGCTCTGGTGCGACGGCCCTGCTCACCTTCGGCGGACCGGCGCTCCGGTCGACTCCGCTGCCCGCCGAGGCCGCCCGAGGCAGGAAGCGGCTCCCGCGCACGACGCCCCGCCCCTTTCCGTTACCAGGCCCGCCCCCGGAACGTGCCTCTCGCCCTCACTGGCTGGCTCAGAGCGGAAGGGGCGGTGCTTCCGCCGAGTCTCTGCCGGACGGAGCCCCGCGAGGAGGAAGCTGCGAGGCTGGGGGAGCAGAGCGCCGAGCCGAGACCCTCGACCTGGGGCTCCGGGGCCTCCGGGGCGCTCGTCTCCTCGGCTCCGTGTTGGGGGTGAAGCCGGTACACAGGCCCCTGGCTGCCGTCCACCGTGTCGCTGCAGTGCGGGGACGGTGCCGAGCGAGTGGCTGCATGCCGTGGACTGTCCGGCCCCGGACCGGGGCAGAAGCGAGGCTCGGCGCACACAGGTGCCGCAGGCCGGGAGTGCTGAGCCCCGACTGCAGCCCAGTCCTCGCACGGGTCGCCTCGCAAGGCCGGCAGCAGGCCGCCCGGCGCCAGGCTGGACGAGGCTGGCCCCTGCGCGGTCTTTGTTCCCAGTGCAGCGGCACCCTGGATGTGGAGCAGAGGAGCGGCCGGCGCAGAGTTCGGCCCGGCTGCTGCAGGCAGGGCGGCGGCGGAGCCGTCTGAGGCTGCTGGTTCAGGTGTGGACAGGAGAAATGAAGGGAGGTGTGACGGGGCTCGGGAAGCCGGGAGGGGAGGTGATTGGAGGGCGACACACTTGGAAAGGACGGGCAAGTCTGGAAGGCTGGTAACTGGACTTCAACACTTGCGTTTGAGGCTCTTCACCAACCTGAGGCCCACGGAGTTTTTTTTTTAGATTTATTTATTTTTTTGAAAATCAGAGTGACACAGAGATAGAGAGAGAGAGGTCTTCCATCTGCAGATCTCCCACGTGGGTGCAGGGGCCCAAGCACTTGGGTCACCCTCTGCTGCTCTCCCAGGCCAGAGAGCTGGATCAGAACTGAAACAGCCGGGACTTGAACCGGCGCCCATATGCGGTGCCGGCACTGCAGGCGGCGGCTTTACCTGTTATGCCACAGCACCGGCTCCTCTTTCTTTCTTAAGATTTATTTTGTTTGTTTGAAAGAGACACGCACACAGACGGAGAGAGAGAATGTCCGTCTGTGGTTCCCTCTCCGAGTGGCCGCAAGCCGGAAGCCAGGAGCTTCGTCAGGGTCTCCCACGTGGGTAGCTGGGGCTGAAGGACTTGGGCCGTCCTCTGCTGCTTTTCCCAGGCCATAGCAGGAAGCTGGATCGGGAGAGTGAAGAGGCTGACAAGGTCGCCGCAGGAGGTCTGTCTCCACAGGGCGCAGGCGTGGTTGTAGATTTCCTGGGGATCCCTGTATTCTTGGAAATCTGTGAGAAACGACCTCTGCTCAAGATGACCTCACTGACGGTCGAGCTGTGGGATGGACTCGGTCCTCCTAGAGTGATTCAACCCCTCTGATGCTTGTTATCTGCAACAAAGGCCTGGAGGGAAGTGCAGACGTAGGGTATATGGTCTGCAGTCAGACCTGATGCAGGGACGAGAGGGTCCTGGGGAAGCTCTCAGGTCCTGCTGTAACCCACTTGAGGGTGTCTTATCATAGACTGACGACTTGTAAATGAGAGGTAGCAACTCCAGTGGCTGAGAGAAGTACAAACAGTGGTAAATACCTTAGTCTGTGTGGCCTGGTGGAAAGAACATAAAGCAATTATGGAAATCAGTGAGCGAGTCTTAAATGAGCTACTAAAACTAAATCGTGGTGAAGCGTTGTGGAAAGGACGTGCGTAATGCATGGGTTTGTTTGAGCAGGGGGTTGGTTACCAGTAGACTTAAACTCAGAGGTAAATGTTCCAGTGTTATAAGTAGATGTTCGGATTCTCTGCAAAATAACCACTATGTTTTGTAATTGATTATTATGTAATTTAGCATCACTTGAGTCTGTTCTATTGTATCTCAAATATCAAGTAAATCTTTAAAATCAAAATGTTACATGGCCATGGATTAGGGAGGGGTTGCTTGTAATTCAAGGTCAGTGGTTTAAAGTGATGGGAAACAGACTTTGTTATTGTAAGGAAGAATCATTAACTCTGTAAGGATCACTAATGAGTGGACATTTGCAGAATTTATGAGAACAGTAAAGAATGTGTAAAGTGAACAGCGAATGTAACTCAGGGTGTAAGATAAAGTCATCAGAGCTGGCCGGCGCCGCGGCTCACTAGGCTAATCCTCTGCCTTGTGGCGCCGGCACACCGGGTTCTAGTACCGGTCGGGGCGCCGGATTCTGTCCCGGTTGCCCCTCTTCCAGGCCAGCTCTCTGCTGTGGCCCAGGGAGTGCAGTGGAGGATGGCCCAAGTGCTTGGGCCCTGCACCCACATGGGAGACCAGGATAAGCACCTGGTTCCTGCCATCGGATCAGCGCGGTGTGCCAGCCGCAGCACGCCAGCCGCGGCGGCCATTGGAGGGTGAACCAACGGCAAAAGGAAGACCTTTCTCTCTGTCTCTCTCTCTCACTGTCCACTCTGCCTGTCAAAAATAAATAAATAAATAAAGTCATCAGAGCCATGCCATCAGCCTTGCTGTCAGCCCTGGACCTGCTGGAGCTGGCCTGCGGCAGAAGTGGAGCAGCCGGGACACAACTGCTGCCCATGTGGGATGCCAGTGTTGCAGGGGACAGCTTTACCCACTATGTCACAAAGCAGCCCCTGAATCAGGATCCCAGAACTCCATCTGGGTTTGCCACGTTGGGTGGCAGGAGCCCAAGCACTCCGGCCATCTTTTATTGCTTGCCCGGGTATGCATTAGCAGGGGGCTGGATTGGAAGCAGAGCAGCTGGGACTCGAACTGGTGCTCCAGTATGGGATGCTGGCGTTACAGGTGGCGGCTTAGCCTGCTGTGCCACCAGCCCCAGTGTGCCTGTTTGTTGAGGTGACTGATGCCTAACTCACCCCCCCTTTTTATTTAAGATTTTATTTATTTATTTGACAGAGTTATAGACAGTGAGAGGGAGAAACAGAGAAAGGTCTTCCCTCCGTTGGTTCACTCCCCAAGTGGCCGCTACAGCTGGAGCTGCGCCAATCTGAAGCCAGCAGCCAGGTGCCTCTTTCTGGTCTCCCGTGTGTGTACAGGGGCCCAAGGACCTGGGCCATCCTCCACCGCTTTCCCAGGCCACAGCAGAGAGCTGGACCAGAAGAGGAGCAGCCGGGACTTGAACTGGTGCCCATATGGGATGCCGGTGCCTCAGGCGGAGGATTAACCTACTGCACCACAGCACCAGCCCCATGACTCACCCTTTCTCCAGGCTGCTTGGCACCTGCCCCTTCAGAGCCTGGAGCTGCCCCCTCCCCTCCCATTGTGAACAGTCCTTCAAACTTCCAGTCATTCTTCCATTCGGGCATCCCAGAGAGACATGAATTAGGAATAACTGATGGGTACTGAAGACAGCCCAGGGGAAGTGTAGGGACACAGGATTCCAGGCAGAGTTGTCCCTCGAGGCCAAATGCAAGGGTGTGAATGAGCCTGCTTCCTTTGGGGAATGCAGAGTGTGGTCAGATCAGCTGGGCTAGAGTGTAAGCGTGCCTGCTCGTGGAGGTAGCGTGCACGACTATGTGTGTGCCTGCTCGTGGAGGTAGCGTGCACGACTATGTGTGTGCCTGCTCGTGGAGGTAGTGTGCACGACTATGTGTGTGCCTGCTCATAGAGGTAGCGTACACGACTATGTGTGTGCCTGCTCGTGGAGGTAGCATGCACGACTGTGTGTGTGCCTGCTCGTGGAGGTAGCGTGCACGACTATGTGTGTGCCTGCTCGTGGAGGTAGCGTGCACGACTGTGTGTGTGCCTGCTCTTGGAGGTAGCGTGCACGACTATGTGCGTGCCTGCTCGTGGAGGTAGTGTGCACGACTATGTGTGTGCCTGCTCATAGAGGTAGCGTGCACGACTATGTGCGTGCCTGCTCGTGGAGGTAGCGTGCACGACTATGTGTGTGCCTGCTCGTGGAGGTAGCGTGCACGACTATGTGTGTGCCTGCTCGTGGAGGTAGCGTGCACGACTATGTGTGTGCCTGCTCGTGGAGGTAGCGTAAATGACTATGTGCGTGCCTGCTCGTGGAGGTAGCGTGCACGACTGTGTGTGTGTGCCTGCTTGTGGAGGTAGCGTGCACGACTGTGTGCGTGCCTGCTCGTGGAGGTAGCGTGCACGACTGTGTGCGTGCCTGCTCGTGGAGGTAGCGTGCACGACTGTGTGCGTGCCTGCTCGTGGTCGGCCATCTGAGACATGGTGTGGAGCCCAGGCTATGACGATGTCAGCCTGGTCTCTCCATGTCCTTGAGCATCTGAGGCCGACTGTCAGTGAAGGTTTCCATTATGTCCCAGGCACACAGCTGTCGCTCCCCCTCTTCGTGGAGGAACGACACAGGACCCTGCGCTGTTCTTTCGTCTGCTCGGCCCTCCCCGGGTTTGCTGCTGGTTCTTCCCGGGTTGGCTGCTATCCCTTCCACCTCCGTGGAAGGGCAGTTCCCCCTGGCCACATTCCCCACTTCCGCAGGGGAGCGGCACACCGCCGGCCGGCTTTCTCGGGGGCTGCACGGGTTCCCTTAGATGTTCCCCATAGATGTTCCTCGTGCATGCCGTCTCTCTCCTCCTTTATAGTCCTCCTCCGCCAATCCCAACTCGGCTGCCCACACGCCGAGTACGCTGCTCTCCAATCAGGAGCAAGTCCTACAGTTTATTAGCTGAACTGGAGGCAGCTGTGCGGAAGCTGTTTACTTCTCTCCCAGCGCCATATTGTGGGAGAGCAGATGCATAGAATAAGTCTTAATTTCAGTAACTTAGTCCAGTCCGGATTGCTCCCCACAGATCCCCCTTTCTTTTTATTTTTGGCGTTGATACGCGCCTGTCTTCGGTGTCCCGCAGCACACACTCTGCTCTACTTGCTAGAGTTGCCACAGGCTCTTACAAGTCCTATCAATCAGGAAAACCGAATCCGGGTCCTCTCTTCGCCATGTTGTGAGGAGGTTTTTAGGCGCTGATGCGTGCCTGTGTTCGGTGCCCTGCAGCGCATACTCTGCTCTGCTAGAACTGCCTGCAGGTGTTTACAAAACCTATCAGGCAAACCGAATCCAAGCCTTCTCATTGCCGTATTGTGGGGGAGACTTATTAGTGTTGGTTCGTGCCTATCTTCGGTGACCTGCAGCTCATACTCTGGTCGAGCTTTGCTGGCGCTTACCGCCTTAAATCAGGCAGACCGAATCCAAGCTTAATATTGTTGTATTGTGGGGAAGCCTTACTGATGTTAATTCGTGCCTGTCTTCGGTGACCTGCGGCGCATAAGCTGCTAGCTGCCCGCAGGTGCTCATCGCCTCACTTGATTAGGCAGACCGAATCCAAGCCTTCTAATTGGCATGTTGAGGGGAGGCCTTATTTTTCTCTATTTCTCTATCTCCGGGCATTCCTACCTCTCCCATTTCACTTCTATCTTCCAGCATTCCCATTTCTCTTTTACTTCACT